CCGGACAAAACGTAACGAAAAAAAAACGACAAACACCACCACACAACCCCCCCCCCCCCCCCCCCCCCCAGGTTCAAACCAAGGACTGAATCATGACCTTCTTGCTGTGAGGCAACAGTGCTAACCACTGAGCGGTTGTGAACACAGACATCTGTGTTTATGTCATCATGACAATGAATCTAACCTAAGCCTTATTTTCCTTCTTAGGTGTGGATCCCGTGTCCTCAATGTCGACAGAATACGCCCCGGCCAAGAGGAGGAGCCGTGGGTCTGGACCTGGACTTGGCCTCTTTCCTGGGAGTGAAGGCCCAGCAGACCTATACATCCTCCTTCTCCTCGTCCTCCTGGAGCTCTGGTCGCAGGGAGGGGGCACCAGTCGGTGATGCAGCCCAGGATGGAAAGCAGTGGCTGAGGAAGGAGGTTACAGATGATGGCTGGTCACATGGCGGACTGGCAGAGCCTCGCTTTCATCGCTATAGCAACTGTTGCCCACCCCTATCCTATTGGCTGTGCTGCTGGTTTTGCTGCTCAAGACAGGGCTAATGAAGCAGCAGCAATAGAGTCAATGAGCATGATGCAGTTCTTTTGTGACCATGAACCCCATTTAGTAAATTCTATCCTAAAGGATTCGACTGTAATCACCCATTCTACATAAAGAATTATCCTATACATTTTCCCAGGTGAAGGCTCAGTGGTTAGCATTGTTGCCTCACTGCAAGAAGGTCCTGGGTTCAATCCCCGGTTGGACCTGGGGTCTTTCTGTGTGGAGTTTGCATGTTCTTCTTGTGCTTGCGTGGGTTTTCTCCAGGTACTCCAGTTTCCTCCCACAGACTAAAAACATGCATGTTAGGCTGCCTTCAGGCCCAGGCCTCCCTTGCAAAAGAGATCTGTGATCTCAATGGGGTTTGCCTGGTTAAATAAAGGTTAATAAATAAATAAATAAATAAAAACATGAGCCTAAAAAAACTTTAATTTTAATTGCTTCCTACTCTTTTGCTCTTGGATCATTTTTTGCTTAAAGATGGTGTTTGTTATGGACGGTAAATGTCTAGAAACACGTTCTTAAGCTTTCTCCAGGTCCACAAAACACACGTAGACTAGAGGCAAAACCCCATGACCCCTCATGACCCTCTTAGCAACTCCACAAGGGTGAAGAAGATCTGGCCCACTCTTCCACTATACCATACCAACTTTATAGAATACTTTAAACACCCACTGGACCAAAGTGCTGTACACATAATAAAACAATTGTACAGGCAGATAATAAAAAAACGATTTAAATAATTAAAAGTCAACATCTCTGATGGTGTCCAAGGCCAGGGAGAAGAGATGGGTTTTTAAAAAGGATTTAAAAACAGACAGGGAAGAGGCCTGTCTGATGTTCAAGGGAAGGTTGTTCCACAATTTAGGAGCTGCCACAGCAAAAGCTCGGTTCCTTCTGAGCTTACGCTTTGTCTTTGGCACACTCAGGAGCAGCTGATCACATGACCTGAGGGATCGAGAGGGTGTGTAGTAACTCAGACAAATAGGGCAGGGCAAGTCCATTAAGAATTTTTAAAGCAAATAAAATGATTTTTAAAATGAATCCTAAAATGTACGGGCAGCCAGTGCAGGGAGGCTAAAACAGGAGAAATGTGGTCAAACTTTCATGTGCCAGTTAAAAGTCGTACAGCAGCGTTCTGTACCCTCTGAAGCTGAGAGATACATGAATCACTGATTCCTTTAAAGAGTGCATTACAGTAGTCCAGCCGAGTGGTCACAAAGGTTTGAGTTATGGTTTCGAAATGTTGCTGAGAAAGAAACTACCGGTACTCTATTTAGCCAGCTGTCTCAAATGAAAAAAAAAAAAAAATAATAATTTAACAACTGCTCTGGTATGATTTTCTAACTTTAGTCCAGCATCGACTTTGACCCCTAGGTTTGGAATAGCCCAGCCTGATGTAGTGGGCCAAGGAACCAACATCTACATTGGGAGTCTCAGTGGGGCTTCCAAAGGCCATCATATGAGCCTTTTCCTCATTAAACTTTAAGAAGTTCACAGCCATCCAAGCTTTTATGTCCTCCAGACATGAAAACAGAGGGCCCAGAGAGTTAGTCCTTTTTCTTTAGCAGAAATAGCTGTGTATCTGTATCAGCCCCGTAACAATGAAAGAAAATCCCATACTTTCTAAAAACTAGAGCCAAGAAGGAGCAGGTACAGCGTGAAGAGGAGGGGGCCTAAAACTGAGCCCTGCGGAACCCCACACAAAACAGGAGCAGAGGAGGACTTGTGGTCACCAAGGCAGACACAGAACATACACCTGGCAATTTCAAGTACGCAAGTAGGACCTAAACCAGTTCAGAACTATACTGCTGATCCCCACCGCCCCCGTTGTTTCAAACGACAAAGTAAAATCCTGTGGTCCACTGTGTCAAAAGCAGCCGATAAATCTAAAAGCAAGAGGACAACACAGTCCCAGAGCTGGTTGCTAAAAATATGTCGTTAAAAAAACTTTTAAAAGGGCAGATTCTGTACTGTGTAGACTTAAAACCACACTGGGGCAGCTGTGGCTGAGTGGTTAGAGTAGTCGTCCTCCAGTTGGAGAGTTGGGGGTTCAACTCCACCAGCAGTCACATGATAAAATGTCCTTGGACAAGACACTGAACCCCTCATTGCCTCTGATGTGTGGCCCATTGGTGTATGAATATGGCATTGATTAATCTTAGATACACAATAGTAGAGTGGTGTATGAATGGGTAAATGAGGGCACAGATTGTGTTGTAAAGTACTTTCACTTCGAGTATCTTGATAAGATAGAAAGGCACTACAGTCCATTTACCATTTACTGTAAAACCCCTAAAATGCTCCATTCTTTCAAATATGCTGATAATTGGTTGTACACTCCCTTCTCAAGAATTTTCGAAAGAAATGGCAGTTTAGAGATTGGCTTGTAATTAGCAAGAACAGAGGGGTCAAGAGTGGGTTTCTTATTCAGAGACTGAACAGATGCACGTTTAAAATTTCCAGGGACCACCTGAGGACAGACTGCTATTCAAAAGAACAAGGACCGAAGGCCCTACAGTGAGGAAAACTTCTTTAAATTATCAAGGAGGAATAGCACCATTTGGTGAACGTGTTGGCTTTAAGTGACTAACCGCCTCCTGCAGAGAAGACAGAATCAGTTTCAAACTAAGCTGTCAAGATTTGGCAGAGCAGTGATGTACATATTGGAATCGTAGGAAATGAGTTGGCTGACAGTTTTGCTAAAAGAGCTGCAAAAAATTGTGGATTTAAATGAGTAAAAGTGAGGTTAAGAATATAATAAAACTATATATTAAGAAGAAATAGCTAGGGCAAGAGCAATGGGATGAAGGACATAATGTTAAATTTTATTAAAGTATCCTAAAAAAGTTGGGGAATTTAGGAAATGTATTAGAATAAAGAAAGATGTTATATCGAGGACGAGATTTGGTCACAGGACTAAACAGCACACAAAAACAACTGTATTTACGTTGACTTAAATGTTTTTTTGGTTTTCTAATTCTTCTTATAGTTGACTCACTGTATTTATTCTAAGCAATTCGTCCTAAAGTATTCTAAAGCATTTTTGGTCAAGAAACATCAAAGGTCCGATCAGACGACATGAAGGATCTATGGGGGTGGCCATGATGGAAACAGGCCGAAGAAATGCATGCTGGGTAATATGGAATCAGATGAGTCATTGATTGTCGTGGTGATTGTCATCTTGAGCTGCTCAAATTTTATGAAATAGTACATGTAGTTAGTTCATGATTGTTTTTGTTTTCTAAAACAGAGAAAACCCAGATAGAAATTTATTTTTAATATTTGAGTTTGATTTTTGAGATTAAAAAAACCCACAAAACTTGTTTTTTGTAAAGGTTCTTCCTTAAAGATGCATTAAAATGAAAACTGCTGAAAGTAAAAATTTATTAATTTTAACATTTACATATTTTACAAACAGATGAACTAAGGAACAACGTTTCTGTTTTATTCCGAGTAATAAAACGTTTCACTATGTTCATGGTAAAAACTCCTAATTGTCACAAACGCGTTTGGCATCTGTCCTTCATGAAGCACAAAGCATTCTGGGAGTTTGTGTCTTTTTAATGCCCTCCACAATGCTCCTCCCCCTCAGTCAGCAGCCAATCACAGACTGCCAAGGCCCTCCCCCATTTTGATTCGCTGTCCAGGATGCAGGGAGAATCTGAAGTCTTTGGGCGCCTCGAAGAGCAGAACGATCGTGGAGCCGAGGTTAAACTCGCCCACAGGCTCCCCCTTCTGTAAAGACACGCCCCCTTTGCCTGCAACTTCCTTCACCTGGTCGTCAACAGCAACGTAGCTGCGATCCTGGAAGGATCCTTTGCTGTAGCGAGGAGTGTTGGTCTGCAACTCCTGAGGAGGAAAACAAACATGCTTACAAACAGTTTGTTTACAACAGTATGTCTCCATTACAGAAAAGACGAGTGGGAGGAGCCACAACAATCTGAGCATTTCAAACATGTTCCTTGTTAACCAAGTGATGACCTTTGACCTATCCTTTACACATCAGGAGGTTTATAGCTGAAAAACGGTGTCCTTATCAATGCTGGAACGGAAACCAAACAATTTAGAACCCGTCCTGCAGTAATCTGATGGTTGCGTTTTATCATACTTGACACACATATTCAAAATATTCCAATCAAATATATTGAAACATTGCACAATTTGATAGCTGTTAACTTTAAACATTAAGAACCTGGTAGAGGCCCATCCAAAATGTTCAAAAATCTTTTCATTCTCTTCATCAAACTTTGAACATAGAGCAAACATTAGAAAGAACGTGGCATTCCACTAATGCCCCTTTTCCATTAGTAACGGTACAGCCCGACTGGACTCGACTCAGCCCGGTTCCAAGGCTTTTCCATTATAGAACAATTTTATATCACCTGCCGAGATAGTCAGCTAACACCCAACAGACCTTCATAAAGAACTTTCTTCTTCTTTCGGCTTTTCCATCTGCAGGGGACACCACGGTGAGTCATCCTCCTACATTTCACTCCGTCCTCTGCATCCTCTGTCCTCACTCTGTCCTCTGCATTCTCTGTCCTATGCATCCTCTGTCCTCACACTGTCCTTTGTATCCTGTCCTCTGCATCCTCTGTCCTCACTCTGTCCTCTGCATCATCTGTCCTCACTCCAACTCCCTCCATGTCCTCTCTAACTGCATCCATATATCTCTTCTTTGTCTTTTTCCTGGCAGCTGCATTTCTAACATCCTTTTACCAATATAACCACTGTCCCTCTTCTGGACATGTCCCATTCACACACATGTACTCTGTCTTACTGCGGCTGACTTTCATTCCTCTTCATTCAAGTGCATACCTCCACCTCTCCAAGTTCTCTTCCACCTGTTCCCTGTTTTCACAACAGATCACAATGTCATATGCAAACATCATAGTCCATGGGGATTCTGGTTTGTCCTCATCTATTAGTCGGTCCATCACCAGAGCAAACAAGAAGGGGCTCAGAGTTGATCCTTGATGCACTCCCACCTCCACCTTGAAGCTATCCGTCACTCCTACAGCACATCTCACCACTGTCCTGCTGTCCTCATACATGTCCTGTACCAGTCTAACATGTCCTGCTGTCCTCATACATGTCCTGTACCAGTCTAATATGTCCTGCTGTCCTCATACATGTCCTGCTGTCCTCATACATGTCCTGCTGACCTCATACATGTCCTGTACCAGTCTAATACAGTTTGTCCTGCTGTCCTCAAACATGTCCTGTACCAGTCTAAGCATGTCCTGTTGTCCTCATACATGTCCTGTACCAGTCTAACATGTCCTGCTGTCCTCTCTGTACTTCTCCATCAGCATTCTAAAAGCAAAGATAGCATCTGTGGCGCTCTTTCTTGGCATGAAACCACACTGCTCACAAATAGTAACCTCTCGTCTAAGAATAGCTTCCACAACTACCTGGTACTGACTGCAGCAGTCATAATTAGTAATCAGTCATAATAAGTAATCATAATCAGTCAGTATTAAACCCAAAGCCCATATTACCAAGGTGTTCTTTCTTTAGCAGAGTACCACAAACAAGCAACATCAGGCCCATCCGGGTGGTTTCACATTACTGCTGGTGACTTTTAGAGTCAGAGTCAGAGTCAGAGTTTCTTTATTGTCATTCGCACCTCATGTGGTACATGTGGTGGAGCGAAATTATGTACACAGGGTCCCAGTTACATCCAACAATAAAATGTATAAGAAAAACAGTAATAACATCTAAGATATGAACTAAGAATAACATCAACTAAATATACACTAAGCACTCATAACATAAAACATTGAACATCAGCACAACCATGAAACATCAAATTTCATGAGAATACGTTGAAAACAGCTAATTTAGGAAGGATGTGGATGAAGTGATAGAAAGTATTCCCAGAGAGGAGAGTGTGGTGATCAGAGCAGACCTGAATGGACATGTTGTTGAAGGAAACAGAGGGGATGAGGAAGTGATAGGTAGGTCTGGTGTCAACGAAAGAAACCAGGAAGGACAGATGGTGGTGGATTTTGTCAAGAGAATGGAAAAGGCTGTAGTCAACTTATTTTTCCAAAAGAGGGAGGACTATAGAGTGAGAAATAGGAGAGGAGGAAGGACTATGCAGGTAGACTACATTCTGTGTAGAAGAGGAAACCTGAGGGAGATTGCAACAAAGTCCATGCTCAATAATCCAGGTATAAAATCCAACATTTTTCGGTCAGGTCATCTGGACAGTTGCTTTTTTTAAATTTTTTGTGCTGAAACGTTTTGCCTTTGAGCCGGAAGGCTTCATCAGTCAAGGAAACACACAACAAAACTGATTCTACCCCCAACAGCTTACTCCATAGTGGAACAAATCAGTTCTGCTTGTGATTAGATGGTCTCTTTGGTACGCCACTCTTTCATTGCCGGCCCCCTGAGGGAGATTGGGGACTGTAAGGTTGTGGCATGGGAGAGAGTGGCCAGACAGCATCAGATTGTTGTGTGTAGAATGACTGTTGTGAAAAAGAGAAAAATCAGAGAAGAAGACCAAATGGTGGAAGTTGAGGAAAGAAGAATGTCATGAGGAGTTCAGAAAGGAGCTGTTAAAAGCCCTGGGTGGTAAGAAAGAGCTTCCAGACGACTGGGCTACTACAGCAACAGTAATTAGAGACAGTTAGGAAGGTACTTGGTGTGTCATCTGGAGAGAGAATGGATGATAAGGAAACCTGGTGGTGGAATAGTGAAGTGCAGGATGCCGTTCAAAGAAAGAGGTTAGCTAAGAAGAAATATGAGTGAGAGGACTGAAGAGAGGAGACAGGAATATAAGGAGATGGGATGTAGAGCTTCCTGTGGACCCACCACCTGCCAGAGAGGTTACCGTCCATGTCCCAAGAGCTAGCTTTGGTAAGCCAGGGTCAGAGCGCCATGGTCCCTGCCTTCGGCCACTGCCCATGGCATCATGCACCTGACTTTTGTGGCCCTTCCGGCAGGGAAGGAGCCTGAGCTTGTGCGCGAGGTTGAGAGGTACCAACTAGATATAGTTGGGCTCACCTCAACGCACAGCATGGGTTCTGGAACTGATCTCCTTGAGAGGGGTTGGACCTTATTCCACTCTGGAGTTGCCCATGGTGAGCGGCGTCAAGCTAGTGTGGGTCTACTTGTAGTCCCCCGACTTGGTGCCTGTGTGTGTTGGAGTTTTCCCCGATAGATGAGAGGGTGGCTTCCCTTCGCCTTCGGGTGGGGGGACGAGCTCTGATTGTTGTTTGTGCCTACGCGCTGAATTACAGGTCAGAGTATCCAGCCTTCTTGGAGTCCTTGACATGGGTGCTGGAAGGTGCACCAGCTGGAGACTCCTTTATTCTGCTGGGGGACTTCAATGCCCACGTGGATAATGACAATGTGACCTGGAGGGGCGTGATTGGGAGGAACGACCTCTCTGATCTGAACCCGAGCGGTGTTCTGTTGTTGGAATTATGTACTAGTCATAGTTTGTCCATCACGAACACCATGTTCGAACATAAGGGTGTCCATAAGTGCACTTGGCACCAGGACGCCCTAGGTCGTAGATCGATTGACCTCATAGTTGTGTCATCTGATTTGCAGCCATTTGTTTTGGACACTCAGGTAAAGAAAGAAGCTGAGCTGTCAATTGATCACCACCTGGTAGTGAGTTGGATCAGATGGCGAGGGGAAGATGCCGGACAGACCCGGTAGACCCAAACCTGTAGTGAGGGTTTGCTGGGAATGCCTGGCAGAAGAACCCATCAGAGAGATCTTCAACCCACACCTCCAGGAGAGCTTTAACTGCAACCCAGCTGAGGTGGGGGGCATTGAGTATGATTGGGCCATGTTCCACACCTCACTTGTTGATGTAGCTGCCTTGAGTTGTGGCCGCAAGGTTGTCGGTGCTTCTCGCAGTAGTCATCCACGAACTCGGTGGTGGACACCCCGGGTTAGGGAGGCTGTCAAGTTGAATAAGGAGTCCTATTGGGCCTTGTTGGCCAATGGGACTCTGGAGGCAGCCGAGGAGTACCGGAGGGCCAAGCGGTGTGCAGCCTTGGCTGATGCTGAGGCAAAAGCTCGGATGTGGGAGGAGTTCAGTGAGACTTTGGACAGAGACACTCGGTCGGCTCCGAGGAGATTCTGGCAAACCATCAGGCAGCTGATGAGGGGAAAGCAGCACTTTACTAACACTGTATTCAGTGAAGGTGGGGTGCTGTTGACCTCTACCAGTGATGTCGTCGGGAGGTGGAAGGAATACTTCTCGGAACTTCTCAATCCCACCAGCACGTCTTCCATGGAGGAAGCTGAGTCGAGGGACTTTGGGGTTGATCCGTCCATAACCGTGGCTGAGGTCGCCGAGGTAGTTAAAAAGCTCCGAGGCGGCAGGGCTCCAGGAGTGGATGAGATTCACCCTGATTTCCTTAAGGCTCTGGATGTTGTGGGGATGTCTTGGCTGACACACCTTTTCAACGTCGCGTGGACATCGGGGGCAGTGCCACTGGACTGGCAGACTGGGGTGGTGGTTCCCCTCTTCAAAAAAGGTGGACCGGAGGGTGTGCTCCAATTATAGGGGCATCACTCACCTTAGCCTCCCTGGTAAGGTCTATTCAGGGGTACTGGAGAAGTGAGTCCAATCACTGGTCGAACCTCAGATCCAGGAGAATCAATATGGGTTCCGTCCTGGCAGTGGAACACTGGATCAGCTCTTTACCCTCCCTAGGGTCCTTGAGGGGTCATGGGAGTTTGCCCATCCAGTCTACATGTGTTTTGTAGGCTTGGAGAAGGCATTCGACCGTGTTCCTCAGGGTACACTGTGGGGGGTGCTCCGTGAGTATGGGATTGGAGGCCCATTGTTACGGGCTGTTCAGTCCCTATACAAGCGG